ATCACAGACCTCTAGCTTTTCACAAAATGCACACCCACTAGCTGCAAGCCCAAAACATGTGTCATACAGAGTTGCCGCCCAGTATACTACTGCAACACATGACTAACACTTTTTCAATGAAAATAAGAGGACCACAGCATTTAAGGGATGATGTTAAAATGGTTCTGATAGCTTATTTATCAGATTTTATTTTGGGAAACGCAACAATAAAAGGCAAGAGTACAGCAACCTTTATTCTCCTCAGTTGAGGAATGAACAGACCAAAAACAGACCTAGCTTCTGGGTCGCAAAAATGAAGCAGAAGTGCCTTAAATCCGTGTTTTATCTGAATGCCACCAGATGGAAACAGCTATGGCTACAAAAAGACCTTCTGTCCTGTAGAAGCACATGGAAAAAAAGTCATTTGCATTGACCTCTAAACATTTTCCTCCTGAGTTTATGGTCTCAGTCAAATTAAACCTATTTTATAAATCTTTTAACAGTCAGATCTAACCCTCCTCGTCGCATCTATTTTCTGCAACCAAGACAGCAGCGGTGGCGACGCTCAACTCCGTTAAAATGTTCCAACAACAGCCAACGCTTACCATTTCCATATTACATTAAGAGATTATATTCTGTTTAAAATAAAGAAAGATGTTTTTAGAAAGCTTTGGTCAATAAAACAACAACGAAAAAAAAAACAAAAAAAAAAAAACTCCCTACAAAACAACTAAAAAGCAATGCTAAATTGCATTCTCCATAGAAACCAGCAACAATATGCCAATGTTAACATTATGTGCTGGGGTTTTAGACGGGGACTGCCTATTGTCAGCAGGCTGCTTGAATGAACTGAGCATTATGAGGAGAGACTGCAAATCAAGTACTAAGCCCTCCCTCAAAGCCGACCCCACTGTCTGCTGAAAATCCACAGAGAATCAACGTACAAGGAGAATGACAGGGAAGGCAGAGTTTCCCACTGGGGCACAGAGAAGGATACAGAAGCAGTAACCCGGGAGGGAATGGGGGTGGTAACTGTGTGAACTTAAAGAAAAAAGAAAAGAAAAAGAGCGGGAAACGAACGCACGAGTGTGAGAAAAACAAGTGGGGAACGAAACGAAGAGAACAAAAGCAAGACGGTGGTGCGACAAACAAACACTCATTTTCCAGAGTCGTTCTTCATTAAACTAGTTCATGTCCTATTAATGTGTTAATGGACAGTAAAACCCACTTCCAAGGCTGCCTTTCATGTGAAGCTGACTCATCTCCAGCCAGCTCAAATCCCACCTGGTTACTCGGTGTAGTGTGACAGCTGGAAGGTGGGGGAGCCCCCCCTGCTGTACTGTACGTGCTGTCTCATTGTCTTCCAGTAAATCTTTCAATATGCCCAGTATGTTTATATATACAGTTGTTTCCACTAAAGCTGTTCAAGGAATCAATCTTTAATTTCAAACTCTACTTTTGCAGTTATTAAAGTGAGAAAACCAAGATAAAACCATTACCATGCTCTATTTTGTGGGGCAGTAACTCTCTTGATTTCCTATTCAGCACATCTTCCCCCCCCCTGTAGTTTTGACCTTTTCATAAAGTCTATCTGCTATTTTTGTGGCAGGATTACTTCAGTCCACGAAGATCTATTTCTTTAGTTTTTCACTTGACTTAAAGGTAATTCATTTAATTGAACGCAAGTTTCTTCTTGAGATAATTTCCCCCCCATAAGCGAGCAGCCATATGAGCAACAAGTCTTTAGGATTCTCAGAATGACAGACTTAATCATTTTGCTCTCCTCGAGCTGTAACACCTTCCTATGAGGGGTTTTCCTGAATGGGCGTTGTTAATGCACTCCGCTGAGCCTGATCAGCCCCTACACAATAAAGGCCATTACTTTTATAATAATACAAAGGTTAGAAAGATTCAGAGTTTTCTGCATTTCCTCATAAAATGCTTTACAGTCAGAAGCAGGTTATATTTATTTGCAAACAAATGTTTTAATCTCACAGAGAAACTAACGTAGGCTTTGGAGATCTATTTGAGAGCGTCAACATTTCCAAGTTTATAGCCAGAGAGTTGCTTTTTAAATTTCTGAATCAGCTGGCACCGAATTCCACAAATTGATGAGTTTACTGTGCAAATTCTGGCATGTAGCTCAGGAGGTCGAGAAGTCATCCACTAATTGGAAGGTTGGTGGTTCGATCCCTGGCTGCTGCAGTCTGCATGCCTAAGTATCCTTGGACAAGATACTGACCTGATCCCGAGTGTGAATGGGTGAATGAGGTATGTTGTTTTGAGTGCTCCAGTAGGAAAAAAGAAAAGAAAAAAAAAAAAAGGGCTATATAACAACCGGTCCATGTACTTCATAAGATTAATTAATATTTCTTTCTCTAAAGAGGGGTCAGAATAAATCTGGGGAACCGTCAAGTTGGATCACACCGGCTAATGCAGGTAAACAGACCAAACAGCTGGACAGCCTTTTTCTCAGCTGTTCCCTTTACGGGACACCGGAGCGGATCATCTGCCTACATCTCCCCCTCACCCTCTTTCACCACATGAGCTGTCGCTGTGGTCTTCCTCTTTTCATCTTGACTTTCACCTCACTCTTCCACACCCTTTTTCCTTCTTTCAGCATCCCTCCTGACTAGGATACTACTACACACTACATAATGTTGTTAAAAATCAGCAACACAGTGGAAATTACTGAGATCAGGTTAATGCTACCTTCATAGAAGTTGATCTAGCATTAAGCATGAGAAGAAAGATGACGGCTGGAAGTGACAGGTGTCATATTTGCGGATTTTGTTGTTGTTTTTTAATATATTAATCCCATTTGAAGCAGACTGAGCTGCTATTTTCAATTTGCTGCTAGCAAAATTTAGGTGCAAAGCAATGTGTTTGATGTGATTATTTCCTTCTGTGCCAACAGTTACGTGAGAGATTGATGACTGGAGAACAAACAAGAGGGTGCACAACAAATCACAGCACTAAAGCAACGTATTTCCCAAAATACCCACCACTTATTTAAAGGCTCTCTTGTATAGCGCCACACAAGAAAAACCTCCATCATACTGATGCATTTTAAATATAATCTGTGAAACATCTGAGCTAGGTATTAACAGCTCCACATGGATATCATAGTACGGGAAGATGTTGGTGTTGCGGTTTGATGTCTCGGTTTCAGATGTGTCACACCCCCAGTGCCACTGAAACCTTCAAATCTCTGCGTTCTGCGTGTCAAAAGAATACAGATTACTTTAAATACGAGTCCTATATAACTGTGCCCGTGATTTGAACATTATCACTAGTTCTGGCTTAAAAACTCAGCCATAATGTAATATTACTTCAATAACAAGTGAGAAAGTGTTTGGGGACACGCTGTGGAGTTAACACATCAAAATGGATTTGATTTATTTAAAACTCAAAAGCCTTCTACTCATTACACCCTTGGTGCTAAGCTCTCCAGAGCCATGATTTCCTTACCACATAAGCTGCTGCTCAGACCAGTTCTGGAGAGAAGAGTCGCTGTCAGTTTCTAATTCGGCAGGCAATCCATTCACATTTTCACACCACTCTCCAAGCCACTGACTAACTGACTGACGGAAGACCCTCTTTCAATTATTCACCCAGACAGAGCTGACTGCAGCCGTCAGTGATATGGGATTGTGAACCAGTATGAAGACCAATAATATTAATACCCTGAAGCCTCAAACCTGCACATTAAAACTACCTCTGTTTATTTGTTTGTATTAATGCATTAATGCTTTCCAAAGTGAAAGCATGAAGCACGCTCTTTAATGCACTTAATGTTAGGCTGGTAGAAGTATGCTCTGCATGAAATTGCAAATTGGCTAACTTTTCTTCTTTTGGGGAAGAGGCAGATTAAACATCCTGTTTAACTGGGAGATAACAAGCTAGTCATTTGGCCTGTGAGAACACGCCAAGTTTATTCTAGTTCAAAGGGCACACTGTGCATACACGTTTTACTCTACGGTAGGTGCTCGGTTACTGGGAAAACACCTTGTGGTCCCTTCTACTAGCAATGCTGGGAAGTGTCCCACCTGAGAGGAGCTGAGATGATAATGAGACATTAGGCAGCAGAGAGGGATCTCCTCTGAAGAGGAGGAGGTGGGCAGTGAACCAACTGCTGTATCATGTGTCAGTGGCTGATCAAGAGTACCTAGCATTCAGTTTATGGTCACATAAGTGGAAAGCTTCCGTTACAGATGAGACAAAGGCCAGGTGGTTCAGACAGTTTAACTGCCACTAAGACCAAGAGAAAGAGCCTGGATGCAGCCAGGTGACAGCATGCATCTCCGGTGACATTCAAAAGTGTGCAATGTTACATAAGGTCACAGATAAAAATGTGTTATAACACAGTTTTCTAGTCTTTAAGGCCAATTTAAAACAATTATCTCTGGCTCAACAGCCATAACTGAAGTTTGGCAACTCCCTCATTAGGAAAGGTTAAAAATGTTTTAGTATACACAAATCTGGGGCATGACAAAGCACATCTTTTAGATCGTAGATGCAGGAAGAGGATGCCGCTCCTAAAATATGCCGAGGTCAGTTTGGGGTCAGTTGTTGACCAAGACCTGGGGGGTGGAAGGCCAGGCCAGAGTTCACCCTCTGCCACAAGCCACACTGGGTTTGAAGTCTTCTATAATGCAGAGACTCATCTTCAGCAGCTGTCCCCACATCTGACTGATGAGTTTGCGCTGAGATCTCTCCTCATCACCCGGCAGAGCTGTGTTATGGACAGGTCAGTATTTAACCTGTGAATACAGCCTAGTATGACTGGCGATTTTCAATGAAACCATTTCAACTGTGACGCATGTTTAGGCAAATTAACTGCAGGGCGGACAAAAAGAAAAACTCCCTGGTTACGGTTAAACGCCTTCGGCTGAAGAAAGCCCCACATCCCGATGTTTCATTTCACCGACGCTAGCTAATAATATTACGTTTCTCAGGAAACGCGACTCCTACGACTACCGTGAAGCACCAAACGAATCAGTAAGGACAGAATAAATTACCTGTAGTTCCGATTTCCATTCATGAGGTCAATGCCCGGTTCACTTCCCGGATCACAGTTGTCAAACGTTTGGGACTCTTCCTCCGTTCAATCCGGTGTCTCCTTCGGCTGTGCACCGCCTCTGCAGCGCTGAGTGGCCGAGGGTCCTGGTCTCTCTGTGTCCTGTCAAAGGAGGGGGGGGGGGGCTCCGGCACGGTCACTTCGCCGGCCGAGGGTCTTCAGAGTCTCCACAAACCGCCGTTTGCACTCGGTCAACGTATCCAATCGGATTTCACTGCCACGGCGAAAGCTGCTGGCTGCTCAACGCGGCGCTGTGGCAGTGAAAACCTGCTAGTTAGCCAAGTTAACTCACTAGCCAGGCTCGAGTGGGGGGGGGGGGACAGTGGTTTGAGGAGCTGTCAGGATATCATCACAGCGGGGTCACGGAGTCCAAATGAATCCCTACCGATATCTGATCATTAAAAGAGACGTCATAAATTCGTATCTACAGCAAAGCTAATGTCGGGAAAGCAACCCTAATTAGCTAGCTGACTAGCTAGGCTGTCGGAGAGTTGGAATTCTGTCAGACGACGGCTACTTTTCCTGCGTTAAAAACAGCTGCTGATACGGGCCCTTCTCCCGAGGGCCGTACACCCACGACGTCGTCCTCCGTAGTATGCGTTCAGCTGCCAAAAGTAAAGCTGTCAACAGCGCGATGTATGCGCCGATAAGTGTCACGATCTCCAGTCTGGTTGACAGATCAACTCTGCAAGGCTTCGGCAAGCCAGCTAAATATGGTGAAGTTGCCTTTCTGACACCGACAGGAAGAGGTGGGCCCGTGTCACCAGACGTCAGACCGCCAGCTCCGCCCTCACCCAAAGGTAACCCCACCTTTCGAATGAATTACAGTTTGAGACTTAGGAGGTGCATTTTTTCTTCATCCACCCATGCATTAATATCTAAGAATCATTAGTTAAGGTGGATTTCAGGATGCTATGAGAGTAAGCCTTGATAAATCCCATGACTTACTTTTCAGACAAAGCTGTATTAAAAGCACACTAAAATCAAACAAAAAACGCAACAAGAGTAATAAAAAACAATTTTATTTTCTTTAAAAAATAACCCTCCCCAACAGAGTTCCCATACTATCACATACAGAGCCAAAATAATATGCTTCCACGTCCTTTCATTCAAATCTATTGGGAAGTGCTATGACAAGGACTGTTCTTGATCAGTGGCTTCAATATTGCTTAGTCAGACCGTGAGGCTGCGAGGAGGGGGAACGGACTCTCCCGTGTCCACATGATACATTTCCAGGGTGACTGCCATTTCGTCTCCCCCCTTTGCAAGGTGCTTTGTGGCTTCAGTGAGTGAAGAACTGCATCTGGTTTCAGTGGTGTTGGGGAAATGCCCCCAGGTTGACATTTTTCCTTTCTTTCTTTCTTTTTTTTTTAAAACGCAGAATGAGGGGCAGAAGACTGGCCCCGACTGTGAAAAGCCCCTCAACTGCTGGGCCAAAATACATAACAGGTTAATATTATATATTCATATATACAAATCACCGTGGACACAATGAAGGATCAGTAAAACGGTGTACAAAGGCATTTTGATTATGCAAGTTCATAAACATGATTTAAAAATCAAACTCATCTGATCTCTTATCTTTTGATCCCTTTCGACTCAAAAGGGGGGTCTGACCATCAGACAAGATTTGAGGCGCTTAAAGGGCAACTGAGGTGGAATTTTGGGACCGTCTCCACAGTGCCCTCTTGAGGATACACTCTGACACTAGTCACAATATTCATAATAATAATGACAAAGGAAAAAAGCAGTCTTTATAACCATTACACAATCGAGGCAAAACGACTGACAGGCAGTGGTGAGCGCGAGGCTCCTACCTCTAAGAAAACCAAAGTAAGGTGGCTCAGAATATCCAGTCATAAAAAATAATTACATGCATTTTTCTTCCATAAATCCAGAAAGTGACTAGATGTAAAGGCAGGGCATGTTAAATAGTCGTGATAGAGGCCCACCCTGTCAAATGTAGCAATCCCCTAACTGTGCTGCCCACGCACACAGAGCACCAATAGGGATTGGCTAACACAACATAGGGGATTGGGGCAGGGGATGCTGCAGGTGTGTTATGCGACGAGTGAGAACAGACGGCAAGGATAAAAGGTGATGGCGGAAAGGTTGATGAGTTTGGCTTAACGTGGGAATGGGGGGAACAAGTGCATTTGATCAGCTATGTCTCTGCATGCTGAGAAGGAGACTGAGAGCGCAGGCATGTGTGTGCTTCTGTTGTAAATGCCTGCAGAGGGGAAGAGCTCTGTGTAAAAGCGGGACAGGCGCAGGATAGGTTGGTACAGTTAGGCAAAGAAAAGCACGGGTGGATGCGTGGAGCGCGCCGCTTGGCGCCATTTCCACTGATACACGTTGGAATGTGCAGACGGATCGGAGCAAGGTCAGTTGCTGAAGGCGACTTCAGCTTTGCAGCACTTAAGTGATCATAGACTATATTTGCCTGCTTTTAACTCTACAGAATAGTGTTGACCTTGCCTATTGCCTTTGTTCTGAAAGCTACGCAAGTGTGGGTGTGAAACGTTCAAATGTAGAGTGTAAAGTCTCGCCAACGGCTAGTTTCACCATTTTGAAGTAAAATAAAATAAAAGTAAAGTTTAAAAAGTGCCTCGTAAATTCTAAAAGAGCGATGTATAGAGAAATAAAAGATTATCTTCCTGTTTGAGTGCCCCCTTTCCATAGGGTGGCATCACTTTTGGCTGGTTAACAATGCTGGTTTAGGTGCATGGGGTGCAAGTATATTAGATACACACTATGCAAATGGTCCCTCTACTGTTACGCTAAACTTGCCTCTAAAGGCGAAATCTCTAAGGGACTGGCCAACCAGGACAGAGTGTGTGGCAGGACTCCTGTCCTGGATCTACAATATGCTACACCTGCTCTTTCTTTGTCTGCTATAATATAAAGACCAGAGGGCTAGCCTCGCATGTACTAACAAACTCTTTATGTGCAGGACTGGTGGCACCTACATGCTAACACTAAGTGCTAATGTACCATACCCCGGACTCCTCAAGGCTGTTTAAAAAAAACAGTTTTCAAAAACATTAAAAAACATGAATGTAGTTCATGATAACATTAAAATGATACATGTAAGTGTGCGTGCCCAGTACCACCTCTAATGAGGATCCCATCTAACAAGGGGCTTGCAATACTGGCATCCGGCATTTGGATGGGTAGAGGCAGCATCGTGGTGGCAGTTAAAAAAGTTTTTAGGATTTTTTTTTTCTCCTTTTTATCGCCTAGTTTTCTATTTTTCTCCCATCCGTATTGCATACTTACATACATAGGAGTGTGAAGGTAGCATACAATACAATTACATAATACCCATGATTTAAAAATTCAACTTAAAAAGATCAATAGTCCCGGCAAAGTAAAAATAACAGTAATATTCATAACCTTTTGAGTGCATGAGGCTGCAGAGTCTACCTGTGTTTTACAGGAGAGGGGATTTGTGTTTCTTCGATTTGAGTGACTGATTGCTGTGAAGTATGTGTAGTGGGCAATTGTAGGGAGTAAGGGATGGGGATGAGGTGGTGCCGGTGGGCCGTTTGCCCACTCAGGTAGAAATGAGGTGGGAGGGAACGATGGCGGCGATGGTTGGTGACGCTCAGGCGAAGTACATGGTCCTCAGAGTGTCGTGATGAATCTGAACAGCCTTAGCCAACGCCTGGGGATCCCGACCGTTACTCTGACCGGACACATGGCTGCCCTCTCCACTGCAGAGAGACGAGAGGGTGATGAGAGAGCGAGCAAAGATGAGTTACACATTTCATGTCTTGATAAGAATAAAATTGGCAGCAGCAGCAGCAGACCAACAGCCCCACTTGCTGCTGGTCGTAGGAGTTGTCAGTGACAAACTGTAGACAGTATAAAAGATGTATGTAAAAACTGTGATGTCAATCACTGGTTAGCGAAGTCCTGTTATCTTGGTGTTTTGAAACTGAGCATGACTAGGGAGGGATGGACTTGACTGTGAATGACTTGTGATTGACAAATCATTAGCCAGTGCACACACCCTGGATAATCCTTAATTCTGCCTCTAAGAATGGCCATAATTTACAAAATTAACTTCAGTTTGACCTGAAACTACCAACTGTGAAAGTCAAGAAAGTGCTTACTGAGGCCACAGAGGGAGCAAGCTTACCAACCCCCCAACAAACATCAACCAACCAAGAATAAAGACATGCGTAGTCTATCTTTCGTAGCCACACTGACCTGTCATGTTCTTTGTCTACCAGATGGTAGCGGGCACGGAAGGCCACGAGACGAGCATAGTAGGCTGGGGCAGGGATGGAGACTGAGCGGGTACAGCGCACGTAAGTGTGGCACAACTGGTAGGTTAGAATCTGCAACTCATCAGCTGTGAAGCGATTGTCGTCCCATAAGACGTAATAATGAGACGGCCGGCTGGTACCCTGAGGACAGAGGAGAAAAGGGCAATTAAAATAACAATAATTTTTTTGTGTAAAATTACTTCAAGGTTAAAAGAAGTCAAACAGATTTGTTCTTATTATATTATAATAGAGATTTCTATGGAACAATAAAATATCTATTATAAATACCTGTATTCCTGCATGACTACACAGGTAGAAGTCAAACTCGAAGGGATGAGTGATGCTGGTGTCCACTGTAGTCCCTGCAGGAATGTTCCCACTCTTCCCAATCTGTCCAAAGATAACACAAGGAAAAAAACAGGTAAGCAAGTATGAAAACTTAGTAGGAAACAGAAAAACTGAAGGGAAAACAAAGAAAGTTTACCCTTTCAGACTTATCAGCACAGAAGAGGCGTGTGTGGTGACGTTTCTGCACCACGATGTAGGTGATACCAGGCTGATAGTCCTTTTCCAACTTTATGCACGCATCTCTGATGGCCAGCAGCTCGTAGTGGAGAATCTGTGTGTAACAGTTAGCACTCAGATTAAAACATGTTAAAATGGATTTTAGTGGCATTGTGTCATTAAGATCGCAACGTCCCACCTACCTGAGGCAACTGTCCCTCAGGAACACCGTCTCTGTAGAAAATGATCCTGGTGGGCTTGAAGCGGGTCGACTTGTAAAACTGAATCAGCAGTTCGCGCACCATGTAAGATAAATCTTCAATGATTTCCTGCCTGGGTCTCTGGACGCGCACTGTGGCACAGTATCTGCTGGGATGGGCATCCATACTGCCTACCACCTATTAGAGGGAGCAGGAAACATTGAAAAAGGAATTTAACATGATACTGTGTGGATCACTGATTTCACTCTTAATATGACTTGCAACAAACGAGCAGTAGGTTATTGAGCCCCTTGACTAAAGTCATCTCTCAAATAAATACACCTTTTGTCACAGAACATTCTTCATGACTTTTTACTTTATGAAAATCTGTGCAGTAGTTGAAGTATTGATTCACAGACATGAGTCATTTTTTGTCGTGTGCATATTTGAGCATTAGCATCCCCTAAAGGCTGCAGCTGGGAAGTGTGCGAGGCTCAACGTCAACCTTTTATTTTCCTTCCCTCAAATCCTTACACGATACCACAATGACCATTTCTCACCAGTTTTCTTCTCAGCTCGTACTGTTAACGCAGACCTGCTTTCCTCTCCTGTCCTCGTGACTCAATTATTCGTCATAATTGCTAGGCAACAACACAGCCAACCATAGGCGAGCTGAGGTCAAGGGCGGACGAGAGCTGACGTCATTTCCTTTTGAATGTGAGTCAGTGATGAGCCATTTGTTTCCCTTTATACCTCACTAATTCCTCTCGCACTCCTCCTTTTTTCTCTTCGCTCGGCCTCGTGTGCTGTGCGTCAAAGTCCAAACAAAGC